TAAATTCAAAATTATTTTTTCCCAAAGTTTACTTTTAACTCTAACCTATTGGGTTGAAATATTAATAAACCGCAACCCAGGTATTTCAACCCCTACCCACAGAATGTGTTTTAATTTTAAAACAACATAATTCTCTTTTCTAGTAATAATTGAGAATGTGAGACACATTTGGTCCACTACTGCAGAGCAACTAAAATTTAACGATGTTTTCATCCTGATTTGGTTTTATATGGCAAACTGGTTCTAAAGACTGGGAATAAACTTTTCACGTTGCAGTGAAAACATACATTACAACATTAATACTATTTCTAAGAGCCAAAATAAATTTCTGGATAAACAATACTAAATTTTAACTCTCAACATCTTACATATTTTTTTCTTTAGGTTTGTTCCTTCAAAAATTGGTTTTTAGATTTTCCTACAATAATGGAAAAGAGATCAATCAAAAGAAAAATTCTCATAGGTATCTGGAAGAAACATCCTGAGGATTGGGAAGGGGGAGTCAATAAAATACAGAAAATTTCATTCCCCAAAAGGCTTGATTGAACTATGTTAACTGCCCATCAATCAAGTTTCTGAAGAGATTTGCATAACTTCACTTGTCTTAACTTTATTTCTGTCAGAAAGGAAGAAAGAAAAAAAAGTTTATAATTTAGGGGAGTAACAAAAAACAAAAAAAGAGGGGAATAAAATGATGCTGGCAGATACTAACTCCTATAAACACTTCACTATATGGAGCAGTATTTAAATGTTCATTAGACTTTAACCACTTAAAAATGAGCATATGGTATTTGTTTCTTGGTATATTCAACTAAAAAAAGATTCATAATTGAAAAACCAAAGTTACTTTTCAGACAGAGACTCAGGTTAGATGCATAGTTTGATTTCTGTAGTTTCTCACAAGTTTACTTAATATGATGTCATTGTTTGGTATGTGCATCTTATGTTCAACTTTGCTTTATAGAAGATTCATCTCTGTTCTATTATATAATTTTATAAGATAAAATTAGTTTACGAAGAGAGTAGTATCACTACTCATCTATTTACAGGTGCCAGTTATTCTTTTAGTGGCAATGTGGCATACAGTGGGGCTTAAAGCTCAGTAACATTTCATACACCAATTGTTCACAGCTACGTCTTATCTCAAAACTTGAATGGTAAAGCAAAATTCCTAGATGAAAAAAAAAAATGAACAAGCATCTTTCATTATTTTAGGTTTCCAACTTTTTACTCTTAATATTTCTATGCCTTGCCCACAGTCTCTTAAAATGGAAGTTATAAGCATCAAGGTGCACCTAAGGTTGAGAATTCATATGTGATTAAATTTCTAAAGTGTGTTATATATGATTATGTAATACTGTTCTCTAAACCTGTAGCATCCTACCCTAGATCAGGAAGGCAATCTGGTACACTGAAAAATGTATCTTTCAGCTTTAAGCACAGGTTCTAAAGTTAGAGAAATCGTTGTTGGAAATCCAACTAGCAATGTGTCCCTGGGTCTTCTTATTTAATTAAAAACAAAACAAAACAAAAAATACTACTATGTTGCAGAATTGTTGGGAGAATTAGAGAAAATATACAAAAAGCGCCAAGCACAGCGACAGGCACATAGAAAAAGAAATAAATAATAATTTGCCACTAGCTATTTTTGAAATACAACTAACCTAGAGAATGTGGAACTCAAACTTCCAAAGTCCGTATTTTGGAGGTCACTGAAATAATTTTTTTTTCCACACTGAAAGAAATTCCTTTGAGTCTAACATCTTCATTTATTCAACAGTATTTATTTGGTGCTTCAGACATATGAAAGCATTATTCTTAATGTCAAGGATACCTCAGAGAAGAAATTAGAAGCATCATCCCTTGCCCTCAAAAAACTTACATTTTAGAGGAAGCCAGACATTAGGCAAGCAATTACATAGTTACTTAATTACAATTGTGATCAGTGTTACAAAGAAAGCCTGCTAAAGTGGGAAATGACCTAACAGGATCAGAATTTAAATTTCTATACAAACATCCCACCTCCCACCAAGGGTTTTCAATCACTCCATCTACAATTAAACCTAATCAAAATCTTTGTATAGACATGATTTGTCCCATCTTTCAAACAACAAAATAAACAATTAACCTGATTCTGGCCATTTTTATGTTCAGAACTATATACTGAAACTATACCTGCTATATAAAACCTACAAATTAATTTCAAGTATTCCACATAGTGGGTTCTTAATGAAAGAGAAAGCAAAGATATAATAAGCAGTTGTCAGCTATCAGGCCATGAACTCATTAGAAAATGCATTTCCTGACACATTACAAAACCAGTATTTTCATATACATCCCATTATTCATTTTAACTCATTTTTTAGAATGTTTTTATTAAAATACTTACATATTTATTGCTGAAAAACAAATTATGTCTGTGATTTTTAAGATCAGAACAATTCTAATTTCCTTACTAAAAGAGAACTCTTCTTTGCTCAGGTACCTTTTAAATATGCCACCTTATGTTTTATTTTTAATCTGGTAATATCCAGTTTAAAGACAACTTCAAGATTCTTATCTTCAGAAGTTAGCACACTGTTGTAGAACAGTGCCATTAAAGTCCCAAGTGAATAATAATAAAGGGGAAAACTGAGAGATCAAATCAATGCTCTCATCAAAATGAAACTAAGTTTATTGTATGAAATAGAATCTACCTCAATGTTTGTCTTAGATTTAAACAGCGTTCACCCAGAAATTAATGCAACAACAATTAACTCAGAGCAGTCATTGTCAGTTCCCCAAAAGTGGCCTCTTCATCTATATACAGTTCATAAGGCAAGCTAGTCCAGGATTCCTGCTGCCAATTGTAATGAATGGAAGAAACATATTTAAATCAAATAGCACCATCTAGCAGAACCCTCACCACTTTGCTTACTAGATGTTACTTGGTGTTCAGTTTGGTAGATTGGACAGCAAAAGTGGCAATTATTTTTCATGGCAGAATCACAGAATTAGGCTAGAAAGGACCACAAATACGTCACATTCTCATTTTTATCTCAGATAATATTTTTTTTTTACAAAGTTATCAGGATACAGATTAGATTCAACTATTCCTGGAAACCTAACTAAAATCCAACATTACTTTGACTCTGAAATTCAACCACCCCGAAAGGTCTCAATACAGTTCAATTCCTTCACTCTCAGTAATATGAGATCCCAATACTCTGTAATCATTAAAACATCTTGTTTTTATCTTTTCAGGTCTATTACAACCAAATGATTAATGCACATAAATTGAACTGTTATTTCAAAACTTAAGTTCTAGTAACTGCTATTTCTTAACAAGGCTAGAATACTGTCTTTTGTATTTTTCATGGCACATCAACTAAATTCTAAATCTATCTCCTCAGAAAATATCTCTGGAAAACAAAACAAAACCAGCATCGCTCCGTTAATTTTGTTTGTTTTGCTACATCAAGGCCTGCCACCCCTAAATCCTACGGGAATTGTGTGTGTTGCTGCCAACACGAAGATTAGGAAACGTTCCCATCCCTAGGGCAAAAGAAACTTTCAGAAGCCTACTAACTCCCCAAAGCAAGGAGAGAAACTCGGTCGTCTCAGTTTTTGGTTTTTATTCAGGCAGCTACTTCCGAGCGCTAGGTAACCAAAGTAGCTTGAAAGATGCTCTCAGACTTTTCCCCCAGTTTGAACCCCCTCGGAAAGGCAGAACGCGTTCAATGACAAGGATAAGCCTCAAACCTCAGAGTGGATGGAGGTGGTTACTGGGAGTCACTGATCTGCTGCACAGAAAAGAGGGGTTCTTCCTCAGTGGTCACAGTCACTATTCGCTCTCATTTTTAGTAACAACCAAATCACCGTTACAAGTACGTAAGAACAGCAGCAAACAGCCCTGCTTCGCAGTGTGCCGTGACGGTGGCATCCCGGGACGGGAGGGGCTCTCTTCTCGCAGGCCTCCTCTGGGCTCCCACCGGAGTTAACACCTGTGTCTCCCCACTCAACGCTTCTCCCCTTCCGGCAAATCCCTTTTCGGACCACTGCTCCTAGCGCACCCCCAGACAAACCTCCTCCCGCCGGCCGCTGCAGCTCACACAACTCCCACTCCACGCGCCCCACGACCACCGCCCCTCGGGGGCCGCCCCGCCCGGTGCCGAGGCAGCAGCGGCCCCCAGACGTTTGGAAGGGAGGCGGCAAGTCTCCAAAAAAAGTTCTCCAGCCGCCGCCACGGACTTGGGTCTGCTGCGACAGGCAGAAACACCAGCCTGCTCCAGCAGATCCCGCTTCTCGCCAGCACACTTTTCCTCCCCCAAGAACTCGGTCCTTCTTAGTCTCCCAAACTTGAGCGGCGCCCGACCACCCCGGTCCCGCTAGGCACGGGGCACCACGAACGCCCAGTCCCTCCGCGGGCTGGAAAAAGCCCGGACGCCCACCCAGCCCACGCCCGCACACGCCCTCCGCGCCCAGCGCGCGTCTCCGCGCCCCGCGGGGCCCCGCTCGGTCGCTCCGCGCCCGGCTTCCGCCCGCCGCGCGCCCGGCACCGCCGCCCTCGACTCGTCCGGCGATCCCGGCCCCAAATCCCGGCGCCGGAGCCCCG